GATAACTCACTGTTAAGGGTAACAGTGACCAACAAATACTTAACAGTACTTTAAAATACCTGTTGAATGTAACAGGTCACCCCCCATTCATTGTTTACGTTTAGGTACAAAGTTCAGTCGAGTYTTGCTAAAATGTTGAAACTAAATAGCCACGGAACGCGCAAATTAATTTTAGATATTTCTAAAACTCGTTTTTACTCTGCGGCGGTGCCCAAAAGGAAACTCGAAAGTGAAACGAAAAAAGAGCCAAAAAGAGAAAATGAGTCTTTCATGGCCAACATCTTTCGTGGCAATTTGGTCTCGAAACAAGTTTTCCCCTACCCCGATGTCTTGACATTGGAACAAAAGGAGACCACGGACAGCATGCTGGATCCGTTCCAAAGGTTCTTCTCCGATGTCAACAATGCTGCGCGCAACGATGAAAATTCCGTCATCGATGATAAAACACTGGACGCCCTCTGGGAGCTCGGTGGCATGGCTATTCAAGTGCCCAGCGAGTACGGAGGTCTGGGCATGAACAACACCCAGTATGCGCGCCTGTGCCAGATAGTGGGAGCAAACGATCTGGGTCTGGGCATCACACTGGGCGCCCACCAGAGCATTGGATTCAAGGGCATCCTGCTGTATGGCACGCCAGAGCAGAAGGCGAAGTACTTGCCTAAGGTGGCGTCCGAGCAGGTTTATGCTGCCTTTGCTCTAACCGAGCCTAGCTCCGGCTCGGATGCCAATTCCATTCGCAGCCGGGCAGTGAAGACTGCAGACAACAAATACTATATTCTGAATGGCTCCAAGATCTGGATTTCCAATGGTGGCCTGGCCGATGTGATGACTGTGTTCGCCCAAACCGAGCAAATCGACAAAAAGACTGGCGAGAAGAAGGACAAGGTGACTGCGTTCATTGTGGAGCGTTCCTTCGGTGGTGTCACAAACGGTGCGCCCGAAAAGAAGATGGGCATCAAGGCCTCGAACACAGCCGAGGTGTACTTCGAGGATGTCAAGATTCCCATCGAAAACGTGCTCGGCAAGGAAGGCGAAGGTTTCAAGGTGGCTGTGAACATTCTGAACAGTGGACGCTTCGGCATGGGCGCCACCTTATCCGGAACGATGAAGAAGTGCATCGAGATCGCGACGGCGCATGCCAACAATCGCACGCAATTCGGCCAAAAGATCAAGGAATTCGGAACCATCCAGGAGAAGTTGGTCAACATGAATATACTGCAATATGCGACGGAATCGATGGCGTTCATGATATCCCAAAACATGGACTCGGGCAGCCAGGATTAYCATTTGGAGACGGCCATATCGAAGGTGTACGCCTCTGAATGCGCCTGGTACGTTGCAGACGAAGCCATCCAAATTCTGGGTGGCATGGGATTCATGAAGGAGACCGGCTTGGAGCGCATCATGCGAGATCTGCGCATCTTCCGCATATTCGAGGGCACCAACGAGGTGCTTCGCCTGTTCGTCGCGCTCTCTGGCGTCCAGTACGCTGGCAACCATTTGAAGGAGCTGCAGCGCGCTTTAAAGAATCCCTCGGCGAACCTGGGCTTCATCTTCAAGGAGGCATCGAGGCGTGCAACATCAACGATTGGCTTGGGCGGCGTCGATCTGAGCGCCTTCGTTGTGCCCGAGCTGCAGGAGTCGGCGAAGAAGGCGGCCTCTTGCATCGATCTCTTTGGCCGCACCACCGAGGAGGTGCTGATGAAGTACAACAAGAATATCATCAACGAACAGATCGTATTGAATCACCTGGCCAATTCCGCCATCGACATCTATGCCATGATAGCAACCCTCTCCCGATCCACACGAGCTGCGAAACTTAATCTGCCCACGGCGGAGCACGAACTCAACCTAACCAAAGCGTTGGCCAACCAGGCTACCGAACGAGTCTTCCAGCATCTGAGGAAAGCGACCTCATCCCAGATCCAAAGCGAGAACAAATTGTTATCTACAATAGCGAAAAAAATCTGCGAACAGGATGGCGTCCACTCAACTGGCGTCATCGATCTGAATTGAATTGCGATCAAACGTAATTAGCGAACACCTAATCCATGTATCTAATCCATTCATTAGCGAATTTTATTTGTCCTCATATTCTGTTTAATGAATTTCAAAATAAAGATTTAAGTAAATAACAAATATACTTTGGAATTTGTATAACCCACTGACAGAGCTGAGATGAACAAAGTTCAATTTATTCATGTAGATGTTGATGAAACACATATACTATATAGTGCGCAGCTATAAAATCTAAACTAAAGTCGTCATTCGGCATGCAGCGAAGGCCAGTTCAATTAGAAAATCGATAGACATCACGATATGGGGTATTCTATATTATAGCAAATATAGTAGACTGAGGAATTCCGGTATACCTCAATAAATTTTAGACATTTATAGAAATATATTTATAGATAAATAACTATAGTATAATTATAAATTTAATTTTATATTATATCTGCTGTTCCATGGGATTACTGTACTAAGGAACTTTGGAATTTGGCATTGATTAAGATGTCTATAGATAGATCGACAGTAAAGGCTGCGTTTGCTGATACCCTTTATAGAGATTAGCAAAATTCGATTGTATTTTTAGCAGCAAACAACTGATTGGGCTGTCTAAACAAAGTCCGCAATCTTTACTTGACGTCTTCAAGTGACTCGATAGACACACACTCATCTATATATAGATAAACGCTTCTAATATATAAGAGATCTAGTATTAACTGCATTCATTCGCCTGCTCCACACCAGCGGCATTTGTGTCACTTGGCGCTGTCAGCAAGAGCGTATACGTTATGGTGTTAGAGTCCGTGCGCTGTCGCTCATGGATCTTGCGATGGGTGCGTAGAGCTGCGGGCTGTGTGAAACGCTTGCCGCATTCCTCGCACTCGAAGGGCTTCTCTCCGGTGTGCGTCATCTCGTGGTATTTGCGGGTGTCTGCCTTGGCGAACCGGCGCTCGCAGTAGCTACAGGCGTAGTCCCGCGCACGCTCATGCACTGCACGGACATGCATCTTCAGATTGCCGGAGCTGTTGCACACCTTTGAGCAGAAGCGACAGGGCCAGGTGCGCTCCAGCGTGTGATAGTTCATATGGATCTTCAGCTCGTTTCTCGTAGTCTTCCGCATGCCGCAATAGGGGCAGCTGAAGTTCTTGATACCCGCATGGCGCATCAGATGCACTTTCAGCTTCTCTTTGCTGGAGAAGCGTCGCGAACAGTTCGTCTCCTGGCAGGCGTGCGGCAGTTCGGACTGGTCTTTGTGCGTGTAGCGATGATCGTTGAGCACCGAACTGGAATTGAAGACCTTGCCACAGAACTCGCATACATGGGACTTCAGCTCCGGGCCCAGCTTGTGGCACCTGCGCATGTGCATGATTAACGTGGGCTTATGCCGATAGACCTTATCGCAGCCCTCCTGCTCACAGCTGAAGCGGCTGGTGACCAAGTGCTCCTTCAGGTGCTCCGACAGGCCATGATAACGTTTAAATGCTCGATCACAGCCCTCCTCTGTGCAGGGATAAGGCGCCAGGCCTTTGTGTTGACGCTGGTGGGCGATCAAGCGATGCTGCGTCGAGAAACGCATGCCACAAACGTTGCACGAATCTAAATCCTTAGATGACAATTCCTGAAAATCAAATGTTTAGTGAAGGTTTCGCAAATGATTATTGGTCTTACCTGTGCTCCACTTATTTCTACAGCTACTATTGCATTCTCAACGGCAGATTCTACTTGGGGTAATTCTATTTCAGTCTCTTCATTGGCCAATTCATGCAGTGCTTCTGTTGTGCCCGGATTCTTCTCTATATCCTCTGAAGGGATATTTGAAGATAATTCTAAGCGCCATTGTGCATCGGCTGCTATGCATTTGCTACGAAATGCATACGACTCCTCCAACTGCTCAAAGCAAACTTGGCACAGCTCACTTGGCAGTTGTTGCTGTTGCTCAGACTCCGACTGGGAGAGTGATAAATCTGTCAAGGTCGCGAATTTGTGCGCCAAGTCGGGCAACTGTCGCATATCATAGCTGCACACAGCTGCGTCGAGTGCACAAATGCAAACGCGGCACTTTGTTGACGGAATTGCTGACGTCATAGGCTAAATTTAAGCTTTTGTAACGTGTAAATCACAAAGTCTGCAATTCTCACAAGAAAACGCTTTTTGTTATTGTTTATGTATGCCTAAAACAGCTGTGCAGCGATAGAGATGAGCGGTAGTGTTAACAGTGACTGTATAGTTAACAGTGACTTACGCCTCTTACAGTGCTGATGAGTCAGTATGCCAGCGGTATTTGTATTGTTTATGTATGCGAGCAACAGCTGTGAAGGCGATAGAGATGAGCAAGATGGTGAGAGTAACAGAAGTGTTCGCTCTCTCGAAGACGTGATATATCAGGTTTGCAAAAGAACTCGGATAAAAATATATTAGTTTTAGTAGACTACGTATTATATTTACTTTATAAATTATAATATCAACTTTAATTGTAAATGCATCTTAATTTACTTAGTATAATCAGGTGCCATACTTTCTGACACATTTTTAATACAGTTTCCCGAAGCTGTCTCACTCGGAGATGTTGCTACTTTCTCACTGGATTCGGTGCTCTCCCGCTTATGTATTCTCCGATGTGTGCGTAGAGCGCCCTTTTGTCTGAAATGTCGTCCACACTCTGGGCACTCGTGTGGCTTCTCGCCGGTGTGGATCAGCTCGTGTTGCTTGCGTAGGACAGGCTGTGTGAAGGTGCGACCGCAGTACCTACAAGCAAAGGAGCGAGCACGATCACGCTCGTGCACGCTGCGCATGTGTAGGTTGAGATTGCTGGAGCTGTTGCAMACCTTCGAGCAGATGCGACAGCAATAGGTGCGCTCAAGCGTATGATAGTTGAGATGAATCTTGAGCTCAGTGCGCGTCGTCTTCTGCACGCCGCAGTGGGTGCAGCTGTAGTTCTTGATGCCCGCATGGCGCATCATATGCACCTTAAGCAGCTGCTTGCTGGAGAAGCGTTGGCCACAGTCCGCATCCTCGCAAACGTACGGCAGCTCCGACTTGTCCTTGTGGGTGAAGCGATGATTCTTAAGGCGCCACAGTGTGTCGAACGTYTTGCCACAGTATTCGCAAACGTGCGACTTGTGCTCCTTGCCCAACTTGTGGCACTTGCGCATGTGCACGCTAAGCGTATTCTTGTGGCTGTAGCCTCGGTCACAGCCCGGCTCCGGGCAGGGATAGGGCATAAGTCCATGCTGGCGTTTGTGTGCTTGCAGGCGATGCTCCTCAAGGAACTGTGTATCGCAGATGTCGCATTTGTATATGGACTTGGGTGGCTTAACCAAGGAGCTCTAAAAAGAAACCAAGATTGGGATCAGCTTAGGAGTGAGATATTCCAAATCAAATTGCTTACCTGTTCGGAAGCCTGTTCCGATCCGACTGACTTTTGTTGTTGAGCTTCGTCTATTTTTGTCTCCTCCGCCGCGGCTTCTGCTTCAGCTGTTGCCATCAGTTTATCAGCCTGACTTTCCTCTGCTTCTACTCTCGACTGACTACGCTCCTGGTCAGGACTTGTTGCCTCAACAGTCTCAGCTTGCTGCTCATCATCGGCGCAAAATGCTAGTAATTCCATGCGCCATTTCGTGTCGGCTGCTATGCACTTAGCCCGAAATGCATACAAACGTTCCAGTTGGTCACGGCAGGCGCGGCACAGCTCGCTGGGCAACCGCGTCTCATCGGACACGGACAAATCCGTGCAAGTGACGAACTTGTGCGCCAGCTTGGGCAACTTGCGCATATCATAGCATACCGCAGCTGCATCGAGAGAGCAAGTGCACACACGGCACTTGGACGAATTGGACATCTGGCCAGTTAGCTTAATTGAAATCAATTTAAAGCACTTTTGCTGATCAGTGTGAAGCGCGATATTTATTTTTGTTTATGTTGCCATCAGCTGATTGCAGCAGTGCTAAGCAACGCGCACTGTTAGTTGTTGATGCAACTATGGCACTTTACAACACTGCTCCCTAATATGTGGGTGGACAACTAGTTGAAATTCTTGTGCTGAATAGAAAAATATTTAAAAACAATGGAAAAGCCGAATGGAATACACTACATTGAGCTCTCTAGCAATTTTATACGCTTTGACGCCGTCAGCCAACTCACAAATGTATTCTTCGATGACTCAAACAAGCAGGTAAGAGGAATAACAACAACGTGTAATTGGGCGGACTGCAGCTTAGTTTTGTTTCAGATATTTGCCGTTCGTTCGGGTGGTGCCACGGGCGTCGTGGTAAAAGGTCCTGTGGAGGATACTGTGATATCATTTTGCATGAGTGATCGCGGCGGTGCGATACGCTCCATTAAGTTCTCACCAGACAATCAAATTCTGGCCGTGCAGCGCAAGGAAAATGCAGTAGAGTTCGTTTGCTTCCAGGGCGAGCAACCACTGCTCCAAGACATTATAACGCATCAAGTGAAAACGCTTATTTATGGCTTTGTGTGGGTGCACAATCGCGAGCTTGCGCTCATCTCGAACACAGGCGTGGAAATCTTTCAAATTGTGCCAGAGAAGCGACAAGTTCGCTCCATCAAGGCGCTAAGCATCAGCATCAAATGGTTCGCTTGGTGTTGCGATGCCAATGTGGCCTTGCTATGCACCACCGAAGGCAACACGCTGGTGCCTGTGCTCATCAAACAGAAGGTCATCACCAAGCTGCCCAAAGTGGATTGTGAGTAGCTCCAAATAGTTCGCTTAGTTACAATCCAATTAATTTTCATTTTATTTTAGTGGGTAATCCGGGTCGAGAGGTCCAGGAGAGCAAAGTAACGCTGGGTAGAGTCTATGGTGTGCTGGCCGTGCTTATACTGCAATCCAACAGCACAACAGGCATGATGGAGGTCGAAGTGCATCTGTTGAACGGCCCTGGTCTGGCGCCACGTAAATGCCATGTGCTACGTCTCAGTTTGGTTGGACGCTTTGCCATTAATACAGTGGACAACCTGATAGTGGTGCATCACCAGGCTACGGCGACGTCGCTGCTTTTTGACATTGCACTCAGTGGCGAGGTGATCGACAATGTGACCTACCATGCGCCCATTACGACAGGACGCTCAATCAAACCATTTGCACTCAAGTTACCCTCGCTCTCGCCSGATGGACAAATTCTACAATGCGAGCTTTGTATGTTGCTAAAKCATAAGTATTATATATACCTTATTAACCCCCCTTCCCAATTACAGATTCCACAAACTGGGTGCTCTTCCAGCCTAATATCGTCATTGATGCCAAGCTGGGCTGCATGTGGTACCTAAATCTGTCCATCGAACCACTGTGCAATCTAATCTCCGATCGCATACGTCTCACCGAATTCCTGCTTCAGCGCAGCAGTGGGAAGCAGATGCTGTTGAAGGTGGTGCAGCAACTGATGGGGGATCAGTATAAGGGCACGCTGCTGCCTGTGCTGGAGACCATCTTTGACAAGATCAACAAGATTTATGCGTAAGTGAGCAACATTAAAGTAAATTGCAGACTTACATATTATTCCACTTCAGCTCCTGGGTCCACATGGAGCTACAGAATCAAACAGCGCTACCTGCGAATGTGAAGAGCACAACCACTAAGAATACTGCACCGCCGATTGTGCTCATCGAGCAATCGGATATGGTGCAAATATTTCAGCCCATTGCCGAGCGACCCTTCGCGGAAACTGTGTTCATGCTGTACCTGCAATCCCTCAACAAATACAACATATCCGCCCAGGAGGAACTCAGCAAGATGATAATCAGCGAGTTGATACGTAATCGCAGCTTTGATACGCTGCGCCGATTGGTCAGCTACTCCATGCTGCTGGAGTCCAAGTCTGTGGCGTGCTTTTTGCTGGCTCACTCCGATGTCGACTCGGCTATATCCCAGATGGCCATCGATATGCTGGGCAAGATCCAGGCACACGAGGTACTTACTCCTATTTACTCCAGATTAACCATTATCTAACGATTTGATATTGCAGATAATCATCGAGGTGATGCTGGGTCAGGGCAAGGTCATCGATGCGTTGCGTCTGGCCAAAAACTCGTTGGGCATTGACAAGGTGCCGGCGCGCAAGTTCCTCGAGGCGGCATACAAAACTCAAGATGATTTGATCTTTCACAGCGTCTACAGATTCTTCCAGATGCGCAACTTGCGCAATTACGAAACTCTGGCATTTCCTAAAGGTAAACGAGAATTTGTATGATTTTTATACAATTCATTTTTAATTACAATCCCAACATTTTTAGCCGAGCAATGCACGGAGTTTATACAGCATTATAACAATACTTTTCCTCCGGATAGCGCCAATAAATTGCAGACGAGCTGAGCCCATTGTTTACTAGGATTTGTTCAGTTTATTTTGTGATTTAGCTAATAATTGGGGTATTCACACTTGAGTCTACAAATAGCTTAAGCTTATTATAATAAACAAATGAACATATAACATGAATACGATTTATATAGAAATAAATATATAGTGTACATATATATGTATATATATATTTTCGAATGTGCATAAATACAAACATGTGACATCTTTTATCAAGTTTTTACTATTTAACATCAATTCTAGACTGAATTCTTGACAAAGTATTTAGCATTTAAGAATTAGCAATGCTAGGCTATACACAGATCATCTGGAACAGTCGCACCTTTCGGGATGATTACACATAATACTTGACGTTGCATTTACACTTACACAAACACGATTTGTAAGAGGTACGATCATTACATACAATGGCAATATATAAATATGGAATATACGTACATAAAAATATTAGGAATTTACATGCATTATTGCATTATTATTATCTCTAGCAGAAGCGCCTGGGTGGCGCTTTCAACTGCAGCGAGCCCAGTTCCATGGTGTTGGAGCTCTTTAGCAAATGCTGGCTGGGGCATGGCAAGCGAACAATTGACAGCTGCTGTGCATCATCCGGTTCAAAGGGCAGCGGTTCTTCACAGCGTGGACATTTCTGCAACGCTGTTGTCTCGCTCCAACACCGTTCGTGGAACGCATGCCCACATGGACCCAGCACGAGAACCGGCGTCTGGTCATATAGACGCTGACGGCAGATGAGGCAGCGCATGCTGGTCACCCAGAGACCGCGACGTGCCAGATGCCGCTGCTCGGCGAACTCTGTGTGCAGATTCTGGCAGAGCTTATCGGCGGCAAGGCGCAGCGCCTCCGTCTCCTGGCGCGAACTAATCAGCATGCTCATCAGCAGATCCTTGATGTCGCCAAAGCTGCTGGACACATTGTGGGTGTTCATGATGAGCTGCACCAGATTGTGCAGATCAATGTGCTGCGAGGCCTCGTGCAGCATGGACTTGGTGATCGACTGCAGCTCCTGCTGTGGCAGAATATACTGCAGCAGGGTAAACCAGCAGCGCTCCAGCTCCTTCTCAGGCAACGTCGGGGCAGCGCGTGCCAAGAGTTCTGCAATCTCCTTAGCTTCCTTCTCAGCTGCATTCACATCGGCTGCGCGCAACAGTTCCATGGACAGGTCAAAGGCTTTCGCATAGCACTCCTGCTGCTCGTACAGGTAGATGACGGCTCGCTTCAGCTGATGTCGCTCCACAATGTCCACGGCTTTATTGAGGCGATATCCCGCGCTATTCTTCAAGAATTCAAGCACTTCATCAGGCTGTTCCAAATTACAGTAAAGCTCGAGTAGCAGCTCCATTTGAATTGGCTGCAATTCGCAGTGCCTCTCATTGAGGCATTGCAGTAGGCGAAAGAGCAGCGGCTTCTTTCCATGAAGCAGATCCACCAGTTCAATAATCTTGCCCGGATAGTGCAATGCAATGATGCGCGTCGTCTCCGTAGCATTAATCTCCAGTAGTTCTCCCAGATGCTCGCGCAGCTGTGGATAGATCATGCGCTCGCTGTTGTTCACATGACGTTCCATGTAGGCGAACATCGTTTCATGCCGCGTCGGATTGTGTATGAGGCAATCGAGCATGTTGTCGTAGCGCTGCAGCTTCTCCAGTAAATACTCTACCACATAGTAGCAGCGTGCTCTCTGTGCCAGTTCTAGCTGTTCCTCGTCGCTGCTGATGTCAGCAAGGCAGTTGCTGGAGAGCAGCTCGTGCCAGGCGCTCTCTCGTTCCGAATGCTGGCGCGTACTCTCGTTGGCAATGCTCTCCTGTGCCAGGTAGCTGAGCACACGCTCCAGCAGCTGCTTATCTCGCGGCAGGCACTGCGTCGATATCTGCTGAGCAATAAAATTCAGCAAGCAGCCAATCTCCGCCCACTGCAAAACGAGATTAAATTGAGACTCCATAAGATTCTCAATTCATTTACCGCACTCACCGTTGCATTCTCGGGCGTCATGATTTCGAGCAGCAGATATATGATGCGCTTGCGATGGGAGTAGCCCAGCTCGTTGCTGAACTCGCGCTCCTGGAAAGCTAACGAGATGACATTTAGGGTTTCGCGAGTATCGAATTTGAGTAGGGCGCGCAGATATGGATAGGGCAGCTCATCGACGGGGCTGGAACTCGAGTGCTGGGAGGTGAGGCAGCGCAATACATCATGCTTGACCTGCTGCACCTGGTCCTCGGGTATATCGCCGCTTGGAAAGCGCCGGCCGGCCAAGCAGCTGGATATGTAAACCAGCAGACAGTTGCCCAGATCCGTTTGATCCGGCCGCAGTGGCGGCAACAGCTCTGTCAACGCCGTGGTGTAATCATTCAAGGCGCAAGCATTCAGATAGAGCTGCGCCCGATATAGCTGATGCTTCTTGACTGCCTTCAGCACCTGGTTCAAGTCCAGGCACATCCAATCCAGCTTKAGGATCARCTGCTCCAGCTTGGCAGGCGACTGCTGCAGCCAGTAGTCCACAAGAGCCTGCGATATGACCGGATTGACGCTGTGTATGGTCTCCTGCTCAATGTGCTCAGAGATGTGCTGCAAGAAGAGCTCCGTGTTGTTGTGCAGCCGCTCCCAGAGCTGCGTCCACAACAGATCCAGTTCGCCAATGGTTATCAGGCAATTGACAATGGCGCCCAGACAGTAATCGGGCGCACGCGCTGAATTGGCTAYGTACTCCTTGAACAGCATTATGATGCGCTCCTTGGCCTGGGCACATTTGCGCGGACGCTCCGCAGAGGCGACGTAGCCATCCAAGGCGAGCTGACAGGCCTCCTGCCAGCGATGGTTCTTCACCTGGAGAATTGAATTAGTAAACTCTATATTTAAAAAGATTTTATATTTACCAAATAACTAATGCGCTCCGACCAGGTCCGCACTCCAATGATGTGCAGGGAGCGCGCGCCGAGCACATAGAGCTGTGTGCCTCGCGAGACTACGGAGTTGTAGCAGGCATTGGTGCCGGCCAAGGCGAAGGCGGGTGAGACATTGCCGCCCGTGGCCAGACCCTTGAATTGCGCTGAGCCATAGACCAGACCAGCATTGGCCATATCCATGCACTCCAGCTCCCGACTAGAGCGTACATCCACCAAATGTAATATCTCCGACGTGTCCAGCGATGCAACACACTTCGGACCCAGCCAATGGGCGGAGAGGAGGCTGCTGTGCAGCTGGACATGACGCAGATACAGCAAAGTGATGCGTCCATTGGCCACAAAGAGCTGGTGAAAGAAGAGCTGATTGCCACGGCCAACGACAATGACGGGATCCACGGAGCGAGTGGTGTCCGCCGCTTGGATAAGCACCATATGCCACGCCAGCAGAGGCAAGCAATCTGCGGGGCCTTGCAGCGCATGGAACTTGATGACACGCAGACGTGGACGCACTGTGACTATAAAGTATTTCGAGAGCGTGGCCAAGGCCACAATGCAGTACTGGTCCAGTTCATGACGTCCATGAGCGTCCATGATGAGCGGCTCCACGGCACACACCTCGCCGCGAGCGCCTGAGAACAAACAGCGTGAGCTGCAGCCCCTGATGCCCAGTTTGCGAGTAAAGCTCAGCGACCACACAGAGCCGCCAGCATCGGCGCAAAGAGCCAGTGAGGAACGTGATGTCCACTTGACGTGCAACACTCCACTGTTGGGCGTTATCACGTCGAACAGCTCACGCAGCACATCGCCCGTTTGGGTGTCCAGCATGGTGACCAAGCCACGAGCGAAACCCGCCAGAAGGCGTGTGGAGTCCGCATTGAAGGCCATGGTCGAAACGGCACCTTGACTATGCTTGTCTTGGTGAGCCCAGCGTAGCGTTTGCGTTACATCAAAGTTGAGTATGTGGCCGTGCGAGGTTCCCACGGCTATGTAAGCTGCAACGGCACAGGCACTCGCCGCTCCAGCATTGACGCGTTCGGCGGCCGAGTTTAGTTGGGCGGAGATGCCATGGAGTAGGGTGTATCGCATTATAGAGCCGGAACTACTGCCGCCACGTCCATCACCGCGCACACCGCAATCCTCGCCTATCGAGGGCGTTGGCGTTGCCCTCGGCACCGGCATCCCAAGCTCGGACGCCACGTCGGAGTCCGCCTCGAATTCGCTGAGCACCGTTTCGAGAGTCGGCAGCACATCGGTGGGTGGTATGGCAAACTCAACATCGTCCAGCTAAATGTCAAGGGTCGTAATCAAATTGAGATCACCTTTGTTTTCATTTTCAACTTACGCCTTCGAACTCTAAATCTAGCTGCAAACTGTCCGTGGAGCCGCGATCTGATTCGAGCAGCGATTGCAGCGAAGGTGCCTTCAACTGAGCCATGTCTACACACGGTACTCTCTCGGTTTTTACTTTAAATTTGTCAATATTATATTAACAATCTATAATTATAATCTTAATTTTTATCAATGAACGTCTGTACGCCCACCATCTTATCGATATTTACTGAATTAGCGACCACTTTCTGTTYAGTCGATGGATATATCGCCGGTAGATGCATATCGATAGGTGTTCATTTCGCAACTCTGGCAGTGATGGTTCKCAGTCAGCTGTGAACCAGTTCAGCGTCGCAGGTCTTTTTTTTTTGCTTTCATCTCTCTCTTTCATCAGTTCCATTTTAACCTTTATCGTGGCCAGTTGTATCCGCAATCGCGCACGGGAATCCCGTGATTGAACATTAAAATTAATTAAATGCATAACTTACAATAGAAATGTGCGTGAAGCAACAATAATAATTGATGCCCGCGGGCAATACGAAATTGTGAATTGCGTAAATGGCTAGCTAGAACATGAAGCAACAAAGCGCTATGGAAGCGGCCGTGGAAACTTCGATTTTTGCATGAGTCGCAGCGCAGCCAAAAACAAAAAACAAAAAAATTTATAATAATAAAAATAAACGCAAAGAAAACAGAGACGCTACCAAATTAAATTGCAGATCCTATTGAACTAATCGGTGCTGATAAATACAATTGTTAATGCGAGTATATATAAATTTGTTGATTTCGCTGCGCGTGTGCGTTTGTTTGTAATTCGGTTGTCTGCTTTGTTGCTGCTGTTTGTTTGTGTTTTTGCACTACTCTCTCCAATGTACGCGCGTCAGTCGTTTATTGTGAATGTGTATGCGCGCAGTGACGTAAACAAATGCAAATAAAAAGGCACAATTGTAAGCGAAAATTTGAAAAATGCCAACAACAATAACAAGAACATCAACAACAACAACAAGAAAACAGCCGCATGCCGATGCCGAAGCTGATGCCGTTTCACGTGCCAAATATACATAGTAGCAACAACAAGAACGCCAGCAACGGCAACAACAAAACGATAACTTTTTTGCGCCGTGTGTTTTGTGCAGCTCATTCGCTGCAAGGCCAGCTGAGCGCAACACGTTTGTGTTTGATTCTGATGCATGCGTAGGCGAGCAGAGCAGAGCAGAGCAGCAGCAGCGCAGCAGCAACAGCATGTGCGAGTGTGTGCGCGTGCATTGATTGAAACATAGATGCGACAGGTAAGCCCACAACTCAAATTATGTTCATACACTTTAGCACGCAAATACAAAAAAATAACTGTGTGCTATGCGTGCGGGAGTTTGTGTGTTGCTTTTATGTTGCGCCGACCGAGTGTCAAAATTTACATAGTTAATTACAGTTAACTAGCGAGCGGAAGAGACTTCCACATAAATAGAAACTTATCAATTAGTAAGAGCCAAGAGCGGCGCCTTTGCAGGTAAATTTCGAAATGTATACGGACACACACACTTACACAAAAGTGCAGACGCTCGCTCTTGCAGTGTCGTTTTACGTTTGTCAAGATAAGCAAACACAACAGCAACAACAACAACGACATCGAAARCAACAACAAAGGCAACATCAAAAGCAAAGCACGTTAATGACATTTCTGGAGCATTTTTACACACTCACACACACACACACACGTTCCCCACTCCCCTGTAGCCCCTTTTTATCTTCCTTTTTAATATGTCGTATACGCTAGTTTTTCCACATTTTTGTACCCTATCTGAGCGTGGCATATGATCGATTGTTGAATTGATTTGTAACGGTACTTGGTTTTGGCGTTGGAATTTATGAAATTAGATGGAAATTGAATATTAGCGTGTTACGATATTTAAATTAATGATCGTAGCAAATTAAAATAATTTTAATTTTTAATTAATTTATTGGAATTGGTTAAATATGTGTAGATTTTAAAATTAAATATTACAATTTTTAAATTGAGTTAAAATTCTGGAAATTTTTCTTAAAATTATTTCCATATTCTGTTTAAATAATTTTATAACTTCTTTTTCAAACCATTCTATATTTATTAATTATTATTGATGATCACATTGCCTATTGTAATTTATCGATGATACCATATTTACTTCATTCATATTAGTTCCTGATCTCTTTGATGAAAGGCATTTAGTATTCGTTGCATTTCTCTTGCTTTAGTTGTTTGGCTTTTTGTGTTGATCATTGTGCTTTCGCTTTGTGCTCCTTTAGCCATGGCTTTGCTTTTCATCTGCCTTTCATGGCCAGTAAATTTATTGGTCAACATTTTATCTTTTTGGTGTTCAGGCACCCACGCGGCGACTGCGACGCCAACTGCGACGTTAACTTTGGCAACGGCAACTCCTTCAACTTGTTTTTGGGCTTCTCTTGGCGCTCGTGTGTGTTGCACGCCCACATGAAAATTTAACGCCAGAATGCGCCGTCGACCGGTTCAGATTCTAGATAGTAGATTTTAGATTCATGATGCCGATTTCGATATTTCCCCAAAACGTGGTCGACAGCCACATAAATATTATGGAGAAGGGACCATAAAAGTGAATGAACAACAAATACACAAATATACAAAATTTTCCGACATGAATTATGAGCATATGCCGTTAGTTTTTAGTATCAAAAACTTTTCTATATCTCTTTTCATTCCTTCTGTCTGTCTGGGGAAAATATCTTAATTTCAATAAACTTGGCTGCGTCCCCATTCTATAAATTTTACCCAGACACACATTCTCATAAACTAATGTTTTGTTTATCTTTAGATGATTTGTTTATGCATGAGGATAGACAGGGAGGAGGAGAGAGAGAGAGAGAGGGAGCGCTATGGTGGTTCCTGATGTGTTTCTGATTCAGCGATTGCAGTCGAACAAATTTTTGCAATTGTTGGTGCTTATAATTCAGGCCTTAACCCATTGTTGGCCACATGATAAACGACGGCTTGTTAATAAATCAAAGGCAATCGTGCATTGTATGTTTGTGTCCTGTGTGTATATCCTGTGTGCCGCTGCTTCAGCTTCTGTTGCTGCTCCTGCTTCTGCTCCTGCTCCTGCTCCGGCTCCGGCTCCTGCTCGAGCGAAAAGAGTGCTCGTTACAATGTCAGAAAGTTTTTGTTTTGCAACTTCTACATGCCGCTTGGTCCTTGGAGCATGCAACATGATTGGCTATTGCACTCAGCACAGGATACTCGTATTTCATACGCCTTGTAGATTTATGAAGTGCCCAGGCGAGCCGCTTGACTACGTGGGCGTGTATCCCGCTCTCCCTCTCGCTCTTTATCTATCTCTCCCTCTTTCTCTCTATAGCTCTCTTGCTCTGTGCTTGTTTGTGTGCTTAACGTGCTGCAAGCTTGTGCTTAGGGTTAGCATACATACTTCCTGTGCGTCCTGTGCATCCTGTGCCACAGGCTGCCATTGGCATTCTAATGATTTTTTATTGTTGTCGCTTAAGTGGCCCATTGTACAGCTGGCAACATATTGTTCTGACAGCGCCCACTTGATATCAAAACCCCATTCAGGTTGAGGCGCCACAGATGCTGCCAGAACTTCTGTCGCTTGGCCAAAATGGACTTTCGTTTTGCTTCCTCTCTATAACAAATTGGCGATATGATAACATTTCTWATTATATACACTGATTAAAACAGTCATAAAAATTAGCTTTTTGCACAGTTTTTTCATACATTAATTTGAGCACAACAAAGTTGGGTGGTTTCTCTGATAAGTTCAGATGATATAGATCTAGAAAAATAAAGCTGTGAATGAAGTATATTGTATACAAATTTCGTAGAATTTAGATTAGCTAGTGCTAATAATACAAATATAATAATAAGAATATATATATTTTTTACATGTATATAATATAGTATTTATATCATTATATTCTCTAAATATTATGCTTTGTTTTCCTTTTTGTGCTGTAAACTGAATCGTAGTATATGCAAAAATAAAATGAAATTTGAAAGAAATTGCTTAAAAGCATATTTATAATATATCTTTTGCTTTTTTTAAGACCTCAAATATATTTTGTATAATTCTTATATATAAATATAAAAGATCTTATACATCTTATTTATCATTCAAAGAATTCAGAGTGCAATCTTTTCCTTGGATTGTTCTCTATATGCAAAGTTTTAGCATTTGTTTACTAGATTATCAAACTCGAACAATTTGAGCGTAAACTTTATTGCTTTAAGCTAATTTTATTATTACTTATTTTCTGTTCAGCTTAAGTTAGATGTAGGTAGCTCTTTCTAAACAGGTTTTGCATATAAATCTTCGAGCTTTATCAACTTTTGACAGTCACGATCGTTCAGTTGCAATATTTTTATGAGATTCTAATTATACTTGAGTTTTGTTTTTAAATTGTTTTCTTTATTTTTATTTCGTAATGAAATAATCGTAAAATAATATTTTTTAATTGGAAATTCTATTAAATGCAGAGGCATGCGCTGCTTAGTACTGAAGTCTCGTACATTTGAAGAGCTGCAGTTGAAAGGCTATTTCCAGCTGCCTGAGTACAATTCAAGAGTAAATTATCAACTGGAAATTGATTGCGATCTTTGGACTTCACATAATGATCTTTAATATGGCTGGCTTTTGTTTCCTTTGTCTGCTGCGCTGCGGCTGCCTGGCCCGACTTGCCCCGGCTGGTGCTCTAAGAAATCTTCTTTTCTGCGGCTTATGTTGCACAGTAGCTGAAATTGCTGCTGCTGCTGCTGCGGCCTTTATGCCTCATCATAGTAGAAAATGCATTCGGCTTAGTCACTATTTGCCCGCCCAGACAATCCAGCTAGAGAAGAAGCGCTTGGCGGGGGCATTTAAACTGGTTCGCTGTCTTCTTCTTAATGCGAACACAAAATGATGCGATGCCTGCCTGAAGTAGCTCAGAGCTAAGAGCCGAGCGCTGTTTCAGTTCTCGTTTGAGTTTGTGCCCTGTGCGCTGTTTATTATGATCTGCTGGCGAGACAAAAGGCAAAATGCCAAATAAGCCGTATGAAAAGCAGCGCCAGGACATGAACCTGCCACAGGCTGAGAAACTGAGAGGCTATTGTGGGTGGGTCGCTGTTGTTGGGGTTGACTGAGTGCCTCTGCAGTCTAATTCAGAACGCGCTAAAGCAAAGCGATTAACTGGATTTACGTACGCCCCCTCGAGCTTAATGCTGCTGCAACAAAACCCAAGTTCGCTCTTATATTCTTATATACAAAGTTTTTTCATTTTGCAACAAGCTTTAGCAGGAATTATGAGCACAGCAGCTACAATATAATATATACATATTTATCTAGGAGTGTTCATGTATATATACTAACTATATATGTATATGTACAGCTATATATATGATGCGCTGTAAATATGTTTGTTTTGTGTACCTTCATCGATTCAAATAGCGAAAAGCTTTATGTTCTTCGACCAGCTAATTAGCAGAGCCACACATTTTGTGTTCGGAGCTGTGGTTGCGCGGTACACGCTGCTCTAGTGGTGGTGGTGGTGGCGGTGGTGTTCGATGGGGTATGCTGCTAATGACTGTGCTAATAATTGCTTTGTTGTGGCCGTCTGCTGCCGCTCTGCTGCTGCTGCTACTCCTGCTACTGCTGCTGCTGTTGTCCCAGCTGTCATGGGCTGCGCTCAGGGCTGATCCGAGTGACAGAGAGCCGTCAAAAAAGCAGCGACCCGCAGCCAGGCAGGCGTTAATGGAAAATTTCGCTCTAAAATAATTATTTTGCAGTTAAACAGAGATTTTAGAGTAGAGTCTGTGGAAAATGAGAAGTCGTAGTAGAGTGGCTTATATTGAGACATTATAAGATTGGAGATTGAAAGTAGATTGACATAGCTAAGTTTGAAATAAAACCTTGTGGCTGGAAATAAATTAAAAATTTAAATAAGGAAGGCTTTCAACAGTGAGCTAGTTCATAACAGATAGAACTGATTCCTTTCCAAAACTTATCCGAATTGAATTGAAGTAACTCTTCAATCTTAACTTTAAATTGCTTCTAAAATATTATATTTTATCATTTAGTTATACAACATTTAATGCTCAATCGCACTACTATTTGAATGTATAGTCCTTTTCTCATAAATACTACTATTTTAAGGATACGACCACTTTCATGAATAGTACTATTTTCCAGAACTAATATTTTCATTTTAAGTATTTGATAATTGATGTTCAATCCGTTCATAGAACTCAGCTGGTTCTATTGCAAGCTAGTTCCCGTTCTCAGTAAATTCATTT